GAATATGCGAAAATAAAATAGATTTATAATCTTTAATTAAAAAAAGTCTGATGAAAGTGAGTCAAAGTATATTATAAGAGATTAAAGATAGAAATATTTTAAAATATTAAAATGAATACTTTACTATACATATGAAAATATTTGTCAGTTCAGATTCCATGTGGCCAAGTAAAAGCGTTGGAATAGGCAATCACCTCTATAATAAGTAAAGTATAGTGATTTCAGGAAGTCTGAATAATTCAAGTAAAGTAGAAAGTATTATGAAAAGTTATTTATAGTTTAAAATTAGAAGTACTATAATGACGTAAAGAAGATGTCACACTAGGAAAGTAAGAATATTTAATCATTTAGAACGATAAGTGCCAAATAGAAGATCTGCTTTGATCAATGTTTTAATTTTTTTGAGCTGTATTGATTTTCTTGAAAATAGAAGATCAACTTTTTGTATTCAGCATTGATTTTAGTAACCACACTGTGTTATTGACAATTAATTATATCATTCAATGAATTAGGAGGAAGAGACTTCTAGTAAGCAACTTCCGTTTTATGGAAATCTGTCGTTTTTAAAATTCCAGCCCCCCAAGCACGCGACATAAAGAACTTCGTTGTAATAAATAACCAAATAAATAATTTATCATTAATTGAATGTATTACCAGTGAATGCATATGAAAATGAAAAATAAGTTACTAACCACACGATAAGCACAAGAAACTGAGATTCTATTGTCAGCAGCGCTCTTAGCAGAGTGGATTAGGTACTCAATTTGTATACAGGAAGTTGAGGGGTTTAAATATCTGTATTAAAAAGTGTTTTTTTTTTTNGATCAACTTTTTGTATTCAGCATTGATTTTAGTAACCACACTGTGTTATTGACAATTAATTATATCATTTCAAATTTCATATTATAGAGATTTAATGATCATACATGTGACGGAAAAACTGAAAAATTAAAAAATTTAGACTTTTTTGCTTAATTGTAGAAGAAAAAAAATCAAAGGTAAATAAAAATTATTGTGAGAAAATAAAATTAATATTCGTTTAAAAATTAAACTGAAGGGGAAAGATGGGCCAAGGTGTTGAGGAGAGTAGCACAGCTCGGTTGGAAGATATAGGGTGGAGTGAGGGGAAGTGTGTAGGGGACTGATGGTGAAGGCGGTGGGGTAAGAGGGGAAATCCAATGAATTAGGAGGAAGAGACTTCCAGTAAGCCACTTCCGTTTCATATAAATCTGTCGTTTTTTAAATTCCAGCTCCCCCAGTACGCGACATAAAGAACTTCGTTCTAAAAACTTTAAAGGAATATGCAATTTCTCTTTATATTAAGTTAAGTTAGTATTGTTTATACCTAAGTACCATGAATGTGCATTATGACATCTGTTAACATACACAACTTCTATAAATTTTTCATCCAATTTAATTTAGAGTGTGTGATGCTTACGATAGTTACATTCATGGATGATGTCTAAAAATTAGAAAGAAATTCGTTAAAAAAAAATAATTCAATCCTCTTTCAACGTATTTTAGTTCTCCTCTTTAATACAATAAGAAGTCTATGTTAATCTTTAATTTTCATATTTAACATTGTTTATATTATACAATAAATATTGTTATCCAGTTCTTTGATGACATATTATTTATGTGGTAAGAAAATAATTTATGTTGTCTACATCGTAAAGGAGAGGACTTTCTTGATTTTTTTTTCATAGATTTACCGTAAAAAAAAAATAGTAGTATGCATGAATTTACGTTATAAAAAACAGTTACATTGAGTGGATCATAAAAAATTTTTAAAAATGTGTAAAGTCTGTTACAGCTTGAATTAAGGACCTGTGATTATTCTACAGTGCCACCCTGAGAACCACTAATTTTTATCTGATAGTACCGTAGTTTGAGACATCGGACAAAATAGATTAAAGGGAGAGCTTGCTAAAATAATTTTTATCTCAGTTTATAATAATTACTTTTATAGAAAATGTGATAATAGTTTATTACATTCTGAGTATAAGATGTTTTCAATGAAGTAAGTTAACTATGAATAATTCTTACTTTTTTACTGTTTTCGTATATATATATATATATTAGTTCTAACGCTTCATATCGCTTCTCACGTATAATATTTTTTAATGTTTTTAAATATTCATTTTTGTTTATATAATAGGCAGTTTCTAATGATGGCAATACTAAATTGCAGAACTATTGGACATATTTAATATTTTGCAATAGTGAATATGCCTGTTCCACTAAGTAATTGATTGTTTTGTTTTTATATTGTACTATGAGGCCCGTAAATTACTAGCACATTTATAAATTATTGTTAACGTGCATGAGTATATTATATATTTTATGGTATGTCACATCAACATAATAAGTTTTTTGTAATCGGAAATAAAATGTTCTTTTGCAGGTGGTTACTGATCTTGTTCAAGGAGAATTCATGCAACTAGGCTCCAAAGAAACAGAAAATGAACGATTTGCTCACTATTTAACCAAAACTTATAGAAAAACTGCTAGTTTGATAGCGAATTCAGCAAAATCGGTTTGTACTATGAATTATGTTATATAAACAAAATATTCATCTATAAATATCACAGACGTAAAATTTAGCAGTTTTAATGAGAATTTTAAAAAATATTATGAAGTAGTAATTATTGTTGTTGAGATTTTGACTTCTATCGTTACTACTTATAGAAAAAGTTATTGTATCAGCTAACAATATTTTTAATTCAGTTCATAACTAGATTTTTCGAGCATTTTTTGACTTCTTTGTAAAAAAAGTCGTATGGTTTGCGATTTATTAAGCAGACTGCGAAAAACAAGCAGCCCGAAAATTTAACACATTTATTTTACATGGTTTAAAATAAATAATAAGGATGTTACGTTGTTGTTATAAATTAAGAATTTTTTGGAGTGTTTAATAATTTTTGTGGTCATAACTTTTATGATCGTCTCTGATGGTCAAAAATTATTGGAGAAGGTAATTGAGTATAAAATAAAAATTGTAGAAGTAACAGACAGATTAAAAAATATCCTTAAAGTTTTACATCACTTAAAAAAAGTTGTGACTCTCTTTGCATGCATAGAGGCAAATGTAAAGAAAAACGTTAAAATTACTCAATAATATAAAAACATACATCCGCCGTAGCTACTCTAAAAAAATACGTTTCTGAACACACAAAACATATAAATTAATCCAAGACAGTGACAGGAGATTTTGGAAGTTTCAAAGGATTAATACTACATTAACCAACAGAATGATACTGGAGGCCTACAGACTCCCTAAAATACTAAAAACTAATGTTGTCTCAGACACGTTATTTTAACAGTAAAAAGCATCACACATTTTTCAGTTGAAGTGATTTGAAATTATATTAAAAACATGTTTCCTCTAACTATAGATTCAGATGTAGACAACAATTTCTAACTTATCAACAAAACAAAAAGAGTTTAAATACTACCTTTTCTGTTCTTCAGTGCAACTTTTTTGTGTACTAAAACTTCTTGTTGCTTTCTATTAAAAAAGTTCAAACGAGAGACATTCTCACATCACTTATAGTTTCCAAAATCCCCCAGTAAACAATTGCACACCTCGTCTTTATTCCTGTTATGTAACTAATACGATGTTTTATACTAGATACCACTAGTACTTACTAATATTGTTTGTTTATAATCAAGAAAAAACATGGTAGTATGCAAATTCATCAGTGATATAATAATTTTTTGTAGATTTTACTGGATTGCTTAATGAAAGCGATTCTAGTTTCAGTGAAGATGCCAAGTTAGATCAAAATGAATCATCTCACAGTTCTGAATGTAATGGTCCTTTGAATGGCTACTGTTTTTAAAAACAAACTAAGACGGTAATGTTAAATAACAATTCCAAAAAAGAAAAGTGTTAATTGTCTCTGCACACATTATTTTATTTAAAGAAATAAGCGTTAAGCTCTCAAATTTATATTAATAAATCAATGACTCTAAAAAGATTTTTATCAAGGTATACGTTTAGCAGCTATTTAGGATTATTCCTCTACCTTAGCTTTACTTTATACATAAAAAAAAAAAAAACACAAGAATAACAAGGTTTGAAAAAATTTGTTAAAATAGTAGTTTTAGTTGTCACAGTAATAGATTTATAATCTTTAATTAAAAAAAGTCTGATGAAAGTGAGTCAAAGTATATTATAAGAGATTAAAGATAGAAATATTTTAAAATATTAAAATGAATACTTTACTATACATATGAAAATATTTGTCAGTTCAGATTCCATGTGGCCAAGTAAAAGCGTTGGAATAGGCAATCACCTCTATAATAAGTAAAGTATAGTGATTTCAGGAAGTCTGAATAATTCAAGTAAAGTAGAAAGTATTATGAAAAGTTATTTATAGTTTAAAATTAGAAGTACTATAATGACGTAAAGAAGATGTCACACTAGGAAAGTAAGAATATTTAATCATTTAGAACGATAAGTGCCAAATAGAAGATCTGCTTTGATCAATGTTTTAATTTTTTTGAGCTGTATTGATTTTCTTGAAAATAGAAGATCAACTTTTTGTATTCAGCATTGATTTTAGTAACCACACTGTGTTATTGACAATTAATTATATCATTTCAAATTTCATATTATAGAGATTTAATGATCATACATGTGACGGAAAAACTGAAAAATTAAAAAATTTAGACTTTTTTGCTTGAACTGTAATTAAATGTAATAAAAGCAACAATTTTATTGGTAAAAAAACAATACAGTTGAGAAGTGCATTCAAAATCAGTTCTTTCGGCACATCAGTTTGGTGTCTTACCACTTTAGCCAGAAAAAACTAAAACAACTGATCTGTAATATTTTAATTAGTATACGTTACTAATGCTACGTGCATTTCAGCTTACTTTACAATTGAATAATAATTAAATATATACTAGAAATATATTTAACTTACTATTTAGGACTAGTAACTGACATGGATAACATTTGCATGTTAAATATCTTATCCTCTATGGTCATGTTTGGAAAACACTGAACTGATGCATCAAAGGAACTGTGTTGAAACTCTCCTCTCAGTAGTGATTTTTTTACCAATAAAATTGTTGCTTTTATTATATCTTATAATAGCTTAAACGATAAAGCCTATGTTAATACATTTTTCAGTTTTTCCGTCATTGAAAATATTTTAGATGACGTCTTTGCAGACATTTTTGTGACGTTGTAGAGACATCTCTATCACGTCTAGGGACATCTTTAAGACTCATTAATTACGTCAATAAATACGTCGTAAATGACGTCTTTACTTGGGATAGAGCACATTTCTTCCACGTTTTTTGTGTTGCACTATCTTCATGAATTTCGCAAATACTTTCATTCTTACAACAGAACAATCCATGGACGGATTCTCATTTTATCATGTTTTGCTAACGATATAACCTTCGTAGCTTTTTTTTTTTAGTAAACCATAATATCTTTTGATAACTTGTCTGGTTTTGCTTAATACTATGTTGTACTTTACTTCTTACGACTCAGATTAAAACTTCTTCCAAACCGTCACATAACCCACTTTTTTAATAGTAAGCTGTATCTGGGACTAAATAATATCCATTATTTTCGCAAACAGCAATACAGATAGTATATGTATTAGAAATTCTAAATGCTCAAGCATCATGGCATCGATAGCTCAAAAAACTTTTTTCACTGAACTTAATTTTTTTAAATGAGCTGCCACACAATCATAAGTGGCTTTGTTCTTCGGTAGTTAACTGTCATTTAGACCAATTTTTTCTATACAACACCAACTTATTTTCTTGAAGAAATAACCACTGTATATTTGCTAACAGCCAACTTTGAGCAATGCAACGATAGCTGTTTGGAGTTGCTAGCATCCAGGTGGCAATGAGCAGATATTTTCTGCTGTCAGTAGGTGGTCTTTTCTGTTGACAGTTGTAAATATTGATTATTGACTCATTTAATCATCGAGCACTTGTTAAGTCTCTCAAGACATGCAAAAGTCTTTGAAAAACTGTTTATCTGACATACTCTTCATCCTGTTGAAATAATCAATAAAAAGTCTGATAAGGCAATCTCTTTTTCTGCAAAAAACTATTAAATACCTAATAGTTATCTTCACCTCAATAGTGCTAAATATGTGACAACATTATTATAAGCTTACTAACTTGAATAGTTTACATCGGCAATAAAAGAACAGGACTAGTTACATGAATAATTATCGTATCAATTATCTGAAACCAAAATTGAACAGCAGCAGCTATCAGACAAGTCATACATTTAATATTTAACAATATACATTTAACTAGCATTGTGGTCACATACTTAGAATGGAAATTATTATTTCAGGATAAATCTTCTGACAAACAAATTGATGTTGACAAATGTATACTCATTTACTTTTGCAATCAAATTAAGGTTCTGAGAAGTTTTTATTTATTACAAAGCTATTACTACATAGCTGCTTTGTTCCGTATTCCGTTTCAAATGCATCAACTATGAAACGAGCAATCCAGGTAACGAAAAATAATGTTTTAATATGCTCAACATTATTCTTCTTCAAGCAGCGCAGGGGGTCCTTCACCTATACCAATTGCTCCCCACTAAATAAATAGCATACTAACAAATGGTTTCGCATATCTTTGAACAATAACATGCCACAGAGGCATACTACAACAGTACCTTAATCCCACATGTTGCGTTACTAAGTATTCTCACTACCCAGAAGCTGTAGCACATATTATCTGCTTTGCTCTCTTTGGATGTATCAACGACTGTAGATGTATATTAATTATTATGCGTACACGTAATAAGTCTTGCAATAGATTAAAATTTTTTTTAGTTCTACTTTCTTTCAATGTAATGAAACATTTTTTAGATGAATTTTTGGGTTACCAACGGATAGTTCTGTAAAATCAGTTTTGTGTGACTCTGCAATGAAGCTTTTGGAAGAGTCTTGCCTTCAAAAACTAATGTTTGACGTTCCTTCATATGTGTGATATGTTGACGATAAATTAATGTGTCTACCGATAAATTCGATTGACTAAACAGTGAGAACATTTAATAGTTATGACGAAAGTTTGAAATTTACGTTTGAGAAAACAAATAACACACAAATTAGTTTTCTTGATATGAGACTCATTATTCAAAATAACAATTTCATAATAACTAACTAGTTTAGCAAATCTACGCATTCTGAGAGGTATTTAAATTTTAATCAACATTACCCCTTATGTCAGGGATAGCCATAATATACACCTAAGTAGATTACAGCATCAAACAATCTCATAATAAATTCTACTATAAAAATTTAGAAATTGCAAAGAAAAATTTATTAGACAACAGCTATCGATTAAACTTTATTAATAAATACATTAATAAAAGACGAAAAAAAATTAACAATAACCAAGTCTGAAATTAAGTAGTTATAAACAATCATTTTGTCGTTTTGTCGTATTTGACAAGATTTGATCATGTTGTTAAAGTAATTGCGTACAAAAATAATTTTAAGATATTTTTTTCATGTATAGACAAGTTCTCTGCGTTTG